ACTCCACTAGTAAACTATGATAAAAATTTAATTACATTTTTAAAGTCACACAATTAATTAGCACTTGTAGGCTGAAAATGACTGCGAGTGACAAGTACACAATATACAAATTGTATTTGCTCAATAACTGTGATTAATTAATTAATTAACTAAACTGTCAGTTTAAGCATATTTCATGTTTACTACGTTTGTTTAGCTTTGGTGGCCATCTTGAGCAGAGTTAACTCTTAAAGTGAATCAGTTGCAGGTGCACATTGAAATATTACTTTCTCAGCGTTTCATGAGCTGGTTTATCAGATACTTTGCCAAGGATACACAAGCAAAAACTTTTCTGCCTCTTGCCTTTGACAGTGGCTGACAAGATGAGCTTTCACTTCCTTCCTGTGTCACATGGAGGCAAAGACACAACACTTTTTTTGTGCTGTCGAGGTGCAAAGCGGGGCAATCAGAAATGCCATCCATCCATTCATTGACATATGCTGTGAGCACGATAACTAAAAAAAAAAATAGTGAGGTATCGACTTACATTTTGGTGTGTGGCTTTAGCTAGGTGTAAGAAAGGTCACTATCAAACATTGGGATCCCATGTCAAAATCCAAGATGGCCACCACTCTAAATGCTGTATATGTAAACCAACCACCCATGTCATTTCAGTAAATTATGCTTTCTACTTTTTATACTGCTTAAAAGTAGTTGCGGTGTCCCTTGGGGTGGCCAAAGATTAATCTATGGTGGTCAAGGGCACCATTGGCCACCACCTGGCTCTGCCATTGCACTTGGTTATGGATAAAATGTCACCTTCTGCTCGCCAGGGTGCGTCACTCTGTGCTGCCTTGGACAATTTTAACCTAAAATTAACATTATTTTACTTGTACCCACTAAAATATCTTGCACCAAAAACATTAAGGTTCACTCTAATTTCCTATTCAATTCCAGTCCATAAAAACACTAATCTTAAAAACTACAAACATTCACTATTAAAATAGGGGGAACATCGGTGTACCGCTTGTTTAGCTTAAAAATATAAACGATTTATTACTGTGATTTCTGAAAACGTCATGTGGGGACAATCTGCTGCAGTGTGGGTCAAACTGGGTTTACACCTGTTTACACAGAAAACAAAAAAATAAGTGTGAAAAGGAAATAAGGTCTAAAAATAGAGGGTTGGATGATGGACAAACCCTGATCTCTTGGATGACAGTTGTTTTCCCACTCAACAGACACACCCACCAACAAATACAAACATCTGTTAAAACTGTCAAAATCTGTTTTCCTGTTAATAAAATCAAAGGAGCAGGAATAAGTGAGGTTGGCCAAGACTGACAAGTCCTTAGGGAGGATACCTGAATATATGTTGCAACAAGTTTTATTTTCATCTCTGAAAGAATCTTAGAGGAATGACTGGAGCCTCAGCAGGATGTTTTGTTAATAATTAAAATCCACTTTGCAATCTCACTGTTGCCTCAGTCTCTGCGCCCACTGGATGTTTAAATATGTGGAATATTTGTCGTGACCAGAGTGCAATCAGGAAGAAAATTGCAGCCACGTCGCCGTCAAAATTTGCAGATAGCGGTTTTCCTCTTGAGAATTGTCATTAGTAACACTCCAAACCCAGCAGCTGTCAATGCATGTCTCCCACAAATAGTGTTTTGAAAACCTCGCCGATATCCAATCCATCTTAAGTGCGGCGCTAAACTTTAATTTGAGTGGAATGTTACGAGCGATAAGAAATTAATCCGAGCGAGATCTACCCTCGGTGACAACCGATTATCAGCAGTTAAATCCCCGGTTCCTTTGTGCATTGAAATGAAGATGATACTTTAATGGTCATGAAAGGCGTGTCTATTTTGATTATCTATGTAGCCAAAGTTAAAAAAAAAAGAAGTTTTTTTTAATCCCACTTGTAAATATCCTGATGCGTGCTTGTAAAATGCATTATTTTCCAAATTATAACAAGCTCTCCTTAGACATACAACACAACATGTGCACCTAATTAGAAAAGTAGAAATTGTTTTTGATATTTAACAATAACTAAATAAATTAAAGTCTTTTTGAATTACTCATACATAGCAGTTATTAAAGGAATGCATATCCCTGCACATTGCACGACAGAGTTCCACATTAAGATCCATCTAATGTTGAGAAACAACAGAGTTGTAGTTTGGTCGCCTCTGTTACTGGGCAAAAACATGATTGCCCGCCTTCACCTTTCAACGACAGGCCATAAACATCAGTTGCAAAAAAATAAAATAAAAAATACAAGTATGGATTTTCTGACACTTTTAATAAATCCTGTAAACTAACTGAAATAAATAAATAATTCAAAGTTCAAGATTGAAGACTCATTTTGCAACCAGTAAACTTCTGCACCTAGAAGCAACTCCCAGCAAACAACAAGTTGCCCAAGAATGAATAAATAATCGTCATGTGGGAAAAAAAAAAAAAAAAACATTTTTCGTGGTGGAGAGTGGAGGATGAATTTAGTTTCACACCCTGAGGAAGAAAGCTGTTCCCAAGTTTGTCAATACCACAACAGCCGAAAAGGCAGGCTTCGGCTGCTGACATCACTCACATTCACACTTTACTGATTTTCCTTTAGGGTTAGTGTAACATTTATCTGCTGAAGTTTCTCAGAGTTGTTTCTCAGCTTCCTATACTTTATTTAAAATACATTTTATTACACTGTGTTTATGAACAGTGACCTGGAACAGACTGGGAACAATGTGGGTTTCGGCCTCGTGGACTCTTTATGTGCTGGAAATGTATTGCGTCCTGATTGTAATTAGATATCTTGTATTCAAATGTTAAACTTTTAAATTGTGGTATATATTTTTAACAGTTATATGTTTCGCAATAACCAAAAAGAAACTTGTTGATTCACATTTTAAGTGTTTAGCACAAGTTAAATTTATGCATTTTTTACCATAACGTTTATTTTTCCATGAAACGTGTCACCCAAAGTAATTACTTCTATTGTTTATTTAAAACAAAGAAAATTAGTCGCCAATTTAGTAAGTATGAGGACTTCTACTCTTGTTATCTTTAAGTGTTATGGAAGCACAAATTGATTTATCTTAATGTAAAATGCAGTTTTACTGTGCAAGTATCAACTTTTCATCACTTTTTATTTCTGAACAAGTCCCTTCTAGCCTGATATCTGAGGTTTATTACAACAACATGACAACTTTTACCTTTTGCTACCATTGAAGGTCGAGTCAGTAACGCCGCTTCAAAAACAATAAAAGTATTTCCCTGTGCCCAGACAGTTGGAGACCTTTGCTGAATTAATATTGCAAGAAAAAAGTTTTGTTACACTTTCACAGATTTAAAAGCTGTAGACCCTGGGGCAAATTACACACTGATGGTTCGAGACACCGACAACTCTTCTGAAAACTTCTCACACAAATCTTTTGAAAAGGTTGAACATGCAAGCGATAAGATTGCGAGCTTCTGCAACCCGATCGAGCAAATGAAGAACCTCCACACATTCTGAAAGACATTCCAGAGACGCCCTCACGAACGCTCCCCGAGCAGATGGCAGCAGTTGCAGCACAGCGAGTTACGACTTTAAACCTTGTTGGATTATGTATGATAGCTCCAGAAGGTGTTGACATTAACCAGACACAGCTTAAAAGTGTTTTGTTCTCTGCCTGTTCACACATTGCTCACCATTTTGTCCAAAATCTGAAGTTACAGCCAAAGCAAAAAAAAACAAAACATTGCTGCATTGTTAAGCATCAGTGCCTCTGTGTGAGGCTAATCACAGTTAGCAGACATCAAAGACAACAAGGCAAACACTTCATAATCAGCAGTTAGCTCGTAGGGGCATTGATGTACCATAAGTTTTGGACTATAAGCAGCTACTTTTTCATGCGCTATGAACACCGCAACTTATACTGTACTTATACTGCAGCTAATTAATGGATATATATATATTTGTGACGGGCTAACGAGCTTCACGTCCCCAACACATTTAGCCTCTTCATACCCGGACACTCACATAGCTGCTCAATACACGTCTCTCTTGCAGGGTGGGTCCTCGTGACTCAGTGACACTACTTGTATAAATAAAGGTTAAAAAAAAAATCTGACCAATGATATTACCGAACAGTTCACTGTTCTCCCCTCTTCGTTGTGCACAATAAAGTATTTGCAGCTACTCAAAATAAGTGAGCTCGGTGGGAGGCTCGGATGACTGACGGTGAGAAATCGTTTACCAAAACTAATCGCATGCGAAGTGCAACTTTTGCTCAATCCTGACAGCAGAGCAGAGTAAAAAAAAAATCCTCTGTCACCAACCGGTTTGGAAAGCTACTGTATGATGGAGGACAGCACAAGTTGTCTTCTGTCCTGAAGGAGGAAGGTGAACATAGCGATCAACGACTTCCTGGTAGGCTACTGTTTTTTTTTACCAGCTGTGTAACAGGCACTGTTTACAAAAAAACACTTACTGAACATATTAAAAATCTTTCTGTGTAAATAGCTCATGGTACAATGTGTACACCTGTGGCTTATGTACAAATGCAGCCTATATATATATATATATATATATATATGTAGGCACGGGTTATATTTGGGTGCGCTCAATAGTCCAGGAATTACGGTACTCAAGACCACCATACTGTATTCAGATTCAAGGCAAATCCACAAGTAATTACACTGGATTACATGGGATGAAGAGGCGGTGAGGCAGAGGGCAGAAGGAGCAGTTTAAGGTCAGAACAGAGGACAGAAGGAGAAGAAGCTGGCCCGCCAACAGAAGACGAGAGGTGCTGATGAGGATGAGGTGAGGAGCTCAGACAAAGCATCCTGGGGATGTACTGGTCAGCTCTACAGCAGGCAAACAAATATAAAAGATCCACTCATGATAGCCTTCAACACTTGAGAGCAGGATAACAGATTTTTTTTTCACCAACAATTACAGCTGGAGGAACAAATCAGCCGAGACGACCCTTTCACAGCAGAGCGGCCGCGGACCTGCTTGATGCGTCAGTACTCACCGGCTTATCGCTGAACGGGGTCGACTCAGAGGGGGCCATGTCATAATAGGGAGGCTGAAGAGGAAGCTTCTGCATCTCCTCTTCTTTGTCAAGATGAACCACCTGCAAGAAACATGAAGAACTGAGCGTGACAGAAGCTCCTCTGCAGGTTGACTCTGTAATTAGTGCATTGTTGGAACTGTTGCAGGCATCAGTTCAAAGCAACGACAAAATCTGCAGCAGCAAAACATCATTTTTACACTTTTTGACTTCTTTTTCTCACATTAGTTTTTGGTGCTAATGAGCAGAAACAGACATCATTAATGTGAAATCTGACTACAGCTTGACAGCAGTTTAAACTTTGACTGCTAATGTTGAACTCTTTATGAACACCCGCATTATTTTGTCCAATTAATCAGCCCCACATCACACAGACACATGATGCAAACTTTTGAAACCGCAGAGCAGAAACGCTGAAGCAACTGCAGGGCTGGAAGAAAGCCTCACAACATCATCAGAAACATTTTTTTTTTCAAGCTGAAAGGGGGATTTTGATTTTAAAAGCAGGTAACATATTAGTTAGATGAGGTCAGGCCAGATTTTCAATATCTAGATGGAATATATTTGGTATATTATCATTCCAAATACAAATTCTCTATATTATAAAACAAATAAAATGAGAGAAATGACATTTGAATTCTTATTGCAGAAGAATTTGCTGAAAAACAGATCAAATTAGCTAAAAATATGCTGAAATGCAGCTTAAATGAAAGAACAAGCCTAAATTAGCAGAAGAAAGCAGAAAGAACACACATTTGCTGAATTGGGTTTAAATAAGAAGAAATGGACAGAAATATTAGGAAATTAGCTGTAAATGCTGAAATTAGATAATAAAAATAGCTGAAAAGTAGCTGAAAATGCAGAAGGAAACTTAAGTTACCAGAAGGAATTGGAAAAAAAATGAAATGAGCTAAAAAAAAAAAGGTGGAATTAGCTGATAAAGCTAAAATTAGCATCAAAAGAGCTAAATAGTAGCTGAAAGAACAGAAAAGCTGAAACTAGCAGAAAAAAGTCGAAAGAACATGTTTGCCCAATTAGGCAGAAATGAGCACAAAAAGTGGAAATTGTATGAAAAAAGCTCAAATTAGCACAATAAACCAGCAGGAAAATAGCTAAAGAAAGCTGAAAGACATCTGTTACCAGAATGAAGTGGAGAGAACACACATGTTGAATTAGGCTGAAAAAAAAAGTTTAAACATGTGCAAAAAAATGTAGAGTGAGCTGAAAAAGCTAAGCTTAGCGTAAAACAGCTAAATAGTAGCTGAAATAACTGAAACTAGCATAACAAGCTGAAATTGGCAGAAATAACCTAATTATGCTGAAAGTATCAGAAAAGACCACAAAAAAGTGAATTTATCAGAAAACAACTGAAGTTAGCTAAAAATGCTTAAAAAAAGGGTTGCTGAAAAGGCAGAACAAGCTTAAATTAGCATAAGAAAGTAGAAAGAACACAGGCCTGCCCAATTAGTCTAAAAGAAGCAGAATTGAGCACAAAAAGTGGAAATAATCTGAAAAAAGCTGAATTTAAAAAAAAGAACAGTTTAAAAGTAGCTAAAAAGGCAGAAAGATGCTTAAACTACCAGAAGGAAGTGGAGAGAACACAATTTGCTGAATTTGTCTGAAAAACTTTGAAATTAGTACAAAAAAATGTGGAATCAAAGAAAATAATTTAACACTATTTACTGAGGAGCAGACTGCTTTGAATTTAACTCCATCGCAGAACTCTCATCTTGAGCAAGCATGAAGGCGACAGTGGAAAGAAAAAACTCCCTCATGAGGAAGAAACCTTTAACAGAACCAGACTCAGGACAAGCTCCATCTGCTTCGACCATCTGGGTTTGAGAGGAACAGGAAGGAGGAATAGATACACAATGTCAGGTCAAGAATCATAGAAGAAAGAAATCGTATAAAATGAAAACTATTCAATTTTAAAAATTAATTTAAAGAAATGAGGTAATTTTGTCCTCTAGAAGTCTAAGCCTATGGCAGCCTAACAAGCCAACCTTAACTATAGGATTTATCAAAAAGGAAAGTCTTCAGTCCAGTCTTAAAACTGGACAATGTGTCAGCCTCACGGACAGAAACTGGAAGTTGGTTCCACAAGAGAGGAGCCTGATAACTGAAAGATCTCCCTCCCATTCTGATTGAAAACTCTAGGAACCGGGAGTAAACCTGCAGTCTGAGAACGACGTGCTCTGTTAGGAAAATATGGAACAAGAAAATCTTGAATATAAGATGGAGCTAGGTTGTTGAGAGTTCAATTCTGGACTTGACAGGGAGCCAATGGAGAGAAGCTAAAACTGGAGAGAGATGATCTCTCCCACTAACTCCAGTTAAGACTCTGGCAGCAGCATTTTGGAAATGAATACTTTTTAAGGAAGTATTTGGACACCCAGTTAATAAACCATTGCAATAGTCCAGTCTAGACGTGACAAACGCATGAACCAGTTTTTCTGCATCATTTTTAGACAAGATGTTTCTAATTTTAGTGATATTACGCAGGTGGAAGAAGGCGGTTCAAGTAACGTTTTTAATGTGGGGGATAAAAGACGTGTCCTGATCAAAAATAACACCAAGATTTTTAACATTAGAGCTGGAGGATAGATTAATGCCATTCAAGGAGGGAGAAAGACTGAAAAAAATATTCCTAAGGTGCTCAGGTCCAAAAACTAAAACCTCAGTCTTGTCTGAGTTTAAAAGCAGAAAATTAAAGGTCATCCAATCAGGTTCAGTCACGTACAGTTCTTTATTTTCCTTTTGATGAATAGTTATTTAAATCCTTGTGAAATGCGATTTATGAATCAAAGAGCTTTGTTGCAAACAGAATCAAAAATCCCAATAAAAAATAACATTTTCAAAGATGGCAAATCACACAACAGCTGTCTTTGTGGTTGTCCCAACATTTCAGCTACAGCTGAGGTCAACTCGTAAATCTGGAGCTTTATCTTTAGAACTCACCCTTTAGCCGTTTCAGCTGCGGTCGAACAGATTCGGTGTGTGCACAGAGAGGCACACAATTTTCTTTTCCAACACACTGTTCATAGTAAATTCACCCCGCAGCGAACTACTAATGGCTCTTTCACCCCGCAGAGCTTGAGGCCTCTGACAGAAAAGGGCTTTTTAAGGAGTTTTAAGGCAAAATACTCACAACAGGCTCTGAATGAACATGACGCCAGGACGGTGTTAATTATTATTCAAACAGCTCCCAAAACTTCATATGAATAATCATCTGAACTTTACTGTGAAAAGAAGTGAATGAACTAAGTCAAAGTAACAAAGAACAATAAAGTTCTGCAAAAAGTGAGTAACATAATAGTAAATGAACAATACATTTTCACTCCACAACAATGTGCTGTTCAATTTAAGGGATCAAAAGGCTGCCCGATGCCCTTTAATTCTCTTTTTCTTCCAGTCAGCAGTAGCTGTTGAACTCCAGTCAATACACACTTGGGTACCGGGAACCTTTTTTCTCGTCTAAAGGTGAAGAATTAAATGCCTGAGTGGTCATACAGGGAGCCGAGCCACCAGACTTTAGATGCAATTAGACTGAGGTAAGACGTGTTCATACAATAAGTGCTTTGGCCTTCTGGATGGATGTCGTCCATTTGGCTCTCCGAGCTGCGTACGCTCAGGCCGGTTACATGGTTTCTGCATCAGGTGCACATATTTCACTCTGGGTCAGCTGAGTCAAGACTCCTCGTGCACGGGCACAGGTTTTCTATTTCAGTGAAACAATGTAGAGGACTGGATAACAGTTCTGCTCATGGCTTGCTTGATTGTCCTCCATCTTGTAGCGAATAGAGGGAACTGGAAATACCCTCCATTTGTCCGTCCACCCATGCAAGTTGCGAGCGCAATAAAATGAAAAATAAGCAGTGGAGGAGAAAGTACTCAAACACTGTACTTAAGTAAAAGTACAAACAGATAAAAATGTACTCTAGTAAAACTAGACATACCACATTAACCTTTTTACTTAAGTAAAAGTAAATAAGTACTTGCTGTATGTATTACCTAATGCGATGGTCTACAGTATCATTGTGTGCCTACTGTATGTATATTTTCTGTACTACATTAATAGTGTTGAGCCATTTTAATGAACAATGCTGCAGATAATGCATGTTTTAATTGTGTGACACAGTTCACACTTGGACTTGTGATTCTGTGCGTCAGAATTTCAGGGATGACATGCAGAGTTAAATGCCATTAAGCAAAATAAGAAAGAGGAATGATTTTACCTTTGAACGTTTTTATTTAACACAAAGCAAAACCAATGTGTCATTTTAACTGCAGTAAACACATTTAAGTAAAAGTTGTCTGCCTGAAAAAAGGAGCATTAGACATAACAAAGGAATAACTGATCATTTCAACTCCAGTTTGTCATCAACTCCAATTAAAATACTGTCTATTCAAACTTGTGATGGGTCAATATGAACAATATTTTAACTTCTGACACCATTTTCAAAACTTGGACCCGAGTGTTGAGCCATTTGGAAACATCTCTCGTCTCCTAACATCCCATGAACTGACACATTTTAATATTGAGGCAAGAATTTATTGTTCAAGTTCAGAAGAAGTTGGTTTTCAAAGTTTTTTGAGTCCAGTCTGGATCTTTTTGGAGAGAGAATCTGTCCTGCTGTACTGAACGGTCTTTCAATAATCTTTCAATAATCTTTCAATAAGGCCATGGGTGGTGTGTATCTTCTGGCTGACTCTCCACAATGGAATTCATTTTGGATGCGTTAGCGGTGCTGTGGGTGCACCCAGCTCAGTGACGTATATATACTAGAATAGACGTCATTGGTGCAGCTCTTCTTGAAGGCGGGTCTAACGTTACCTGACCACGTTGCAGCGATCCAATGGAGCAACTCCCCTCTCGCCGTTGGTTACTTTCAAACTAATGAACAAATTTAAAAAACGCAACGTGACTGTAACTTGTAACGCAGCACATTATAGAAATGTAGTGTAGTAGAAAGTACATATACTTAATGTAAAATGTAGTGGAGTAAAAGACAAAAGTACCCACATTTAACTCTACTTAAGTAGAGTACAGATACATGAAATAT